TCCCATGTGGGTCCAGTTGCATTACCACTGCATCACTACTTGGGCCCAAACTACCCTCGTCTGATAATCTCCAAATAGATCTACTACATGTGAAACAGTGCTCTGGATTCATCTAGGAGAAATTCTGTTTTTAGAATTAAAAAACAACAGCTAGCATCTATTGGTTGTATATAATATGCCTTGCATTTTAAAAATTAATTTTGCCTTTTACATAAAGTCCCCATCATGATATATTCATATATCTTTACATTTTTTTGCCTGTTAAATGGTTCTTCCCTTTGCACCTCAAGCCCACCCTCTACCACTCACTCTCTACCACCCCTCCCTCCCGGGCTCTGATATCCACACTTATCCTCTATACTATCATATCTTTGGATTTTTCATTTCTGCCATATAGTGTAGATATTTGGTACACGGGGATATATAGAATGTATCTTCCCCCCTCCTTTTGTTTTTGAGAGAATTTTGCTATTAGGGCATGTGCACTTGCCAGAGAGACAGAAAATGAAAAAATCACCCCCTCCCCCCCAGGGAGGATGATCATGTTGCAATCTTCTCTTGAATTTTGGCACACATGCACAAGCACCTGGTGTGAGTTTTAAGCCATCAAGTCTGGGACTCAAACCAGACTACATGGGAGTCCAGTGGTTGACCACATGGGAGTCTAGTGACGCAAGCATTACAGCATCTGCTGGTCCTCATAATGTGTATCTTGCAAAGTTTGGTTCACTTTGCTCAATATTAAGACTTCTATTGAATATATTCATCCATGTTGAATCAAATGATTGGATCTCATTGTTTCTTATAGCAAAGTGATATTTCATATGGATTGATATGCAGTGTAACCATGCTGGAAAAATTAATTTTGTGTGCTGTAATAATGTATAGTGATTAAATGTAGGAAGAAAAACACTAAATTAAAAAAGAATTTCTTTTTTGATTTGTATTGATTTTTAGGGAGTTTTTTTGTTTGTTTGTTTTTGTTTTGTTTTTTGTTTTTTGTTTTGCTATAGGGCATGTGCACTCACTAGAAAGACAGAGAGAGGTAGAGAGACAGAAAGCAAGAAATCACCCTCAAGGGGATGGCCATTCTGCAATCGCTTCCCCTCTCGGAGTTTTGGGCATGCATGCACACACACCTGTGTGAGTTTTAAGCTGCCAGGTCCGAGACTCAAACTGCAGTCTACTACATGGAAGTCTAGCAACGTAATCATTATGCCATCTCCTGGTCCTCCAAAAAGAAATATTTCTAACATACAGGAAAATATTGATAGTAACAGAACAAACACAATTACCAATGATCAAAATTGAATAAATACTGATACTTTGCAAATTAAAAAATATCCGTATGTGTCAAAAGTTTTTCAACCCAGTCATCAGTTTTTGGACACTGAGGTTGATCCCATGTCTCAGCAATTGTGAATAATGCTACAATAAACATGGATGTGCAAGTGTCTTTCCAACTGAGTGTCTTCCTATCCTTTGAGTAAATACCAAGAAGTGATATTACTGAGTTATATGATAGTTCTATTTGTAGGTTTTTGAGTCGCCTCCATATTGTTCCCCAGAGGTTGTACTAATTTACATTGCAACCAATAGGGTAAGAGGATTCCATTTCCACCACAGTCTTGCTAGCACTTGTAGTTTTTTATTTGTTGATGCTGTGGTAGGCATTTTAAAAAGATATATTTAATCTACACAAAACCCAATGATGTAAATACTATTATTATTCCTATTTTATAATGTGGCATATGGCCTGGACAGGGTTAAAGTATATATCCAAATTCACATGATTAAGGCAAGAATTATTATCTGAATAGCTTTTGTCTGATTATGAATTCCAGGCCTTTTCAGTCCACCCTGACTCCTGACCTATTTCCTCATCTGCTTGGCAGCTCGAGGCCCTAGTCTGTTCTTGCCTTAAACATCCTGGAGTTTATGCACCTGTCAAATCAAACTATTTGCTCTTCCACTTATATCCCATCTCATTCCCCTCTCCTAGGGTTTTGTTCATCCTGTTCTCTTTGCCTGGGATAGCCTGTCCTCACCATTTCTCATCTTCCCGGGCCCTGACTAACTATTCCCTGCCTAAACCTTCTCTGATCCCCACAGCTAGAAGGAATTTATCCCGAAATTGACTCCATCTTTGTGTTTACTATGTCTTGCCAGTATCTCAACTCTCATGTGGAATTAATCAGGTTTTACTTGGGAGTCACCTTGAGATTCAGGTCTGCATCTACGCCATCTTTGTTTCCCCATAGCACCCAGCATAGATTACTGGATGAGTGGATGGAAGACCTTTTCTCCACTCACAGAACCATCCCAGCAGGAAAGTTCAGGAAAAGGATTCTGCTGGGATCTTGCCTAGGAGCTAGTCCAGAGCTGGGAGCCCAAGGTTAGCATGAACTGAGATTCTGGAGGCTCTTTCATTTCAACCTTGACTCACATGTAGAAATTCAGTACAAGGAACCAACAAGGGAATGCAAAGACCGTGTGTCTACTTGACTTTCTGTTCCAAGGGCTGACCTTCCACCTCTTCGAGGCCAAGTTTCCTATCTACTTCTCTGCTCAGTGATACCTTTTACTAAGTTTCAGGGAAACAACCCCTACATGATCAATTTGTTGTATCTGAAGAAAGTGCTAGGCCCATTTTTTCACAACTGTTATCTCCTGGGAAAATTCTTGGATTTTGAGCTTTTTGAGCATCCATACAGGAGTGCTTGGTTGGAGGAGTACATTCTTCAGCATTACTTGCAAATATGACAGGTATGCATTCATGCCAATTGTGTCAAGACCTCCCCAAGTGGGGGCATTTCTCTTATTAGGAAAAAAGACAGGCAGGAACACTAGACTGGGCCGATATGAGTCTGTCTGGTTTCCCTGGAATCTTGGAGTCTGGATATAAGAGTACTTGGATGGGATGCACTCTTGGCTTGCCAGAGGGAGGAAAAGTATTATCTGTGCAGCTTAAGATTCTCCTGGGAGGCCAGAAATCAGCTCAAATGGCCCTTTATGCATTCTTAGCAAAGGTTCACTCTTTCAGACTCAGAAACATAGTTACTAAGTGAAGTTCTCGACCAGAGTTAAACTCTTGGGGCTATATTTTGGCTTTAGCAGGTGTTGGCTGCGTACCCTTAAGACATTTCTTCACTTGGAATTCAGATCTCCTCAGCTATATTATATTCACTTAAAAGATCTTTCTTGGTCTGGTGTCCAGTCAGGGCATGTGTGTGTGTGTGTGTGTGTGTGTGCGTGTGTGTGTGTGTGTAATCTTGAGCCCAAAGGAGAGAGAATGGTTAAATTGGGAAGATATATTTCAAAGCTATCATTTCCCATAGATCTAAAACTCAAAGTTTTCTCTTAATTTTCCCTATTTCATGTTTTTCTTAGCTAAGTCTGAATTGGCTTTTATGTTCCAAGAGGGGGCCTGAAGCCATCTGATTTCTTCAATTTGAGAAGCAACTTACTTGAAATGTTGGCTGCTGACATAAAAATCCAATAGCTTCATCACAGAGCCATCTTTTCTCTTACTTTGGCTGAGGAAACAGATCTGTTTTACTAAATGACATTAATTTTCAGTATCTAGTAAGTGTGTATGTATGTGTCTGCACATTAAAAAATAGTCTTGAGAAGAAAAGAGAAAACACAATGCAGTTAATTTATTATCTTTATACCAGTTGAGGGATGAATAGTTTCCATGCAAACATCAGCTTTCATTTAAACAACCAAGCTTATTTTTAAATGGAAGGAAGATTGGCACAGTATGCTGGTACTGATGGCTGGTATGAGTTGTTCTAAAAATGTCTCTAACAAGCTTTTTCTCTGTTTTAGAATTGAACTTTTTAGATGGCTATTACTCACACGATATGAAACACAAAACCCTCAAACACTACGGTGAAGATTCCTAATGTTAATGATCTCATTCGATAACACCGTAACACTTTTATTCACTGCAAAATCACAAATACACACTGATATTTACAAAAGTTTTTTCAGTCAGATTTCAATGAAAGGAAGACAATAGGTTTTAGGATAAAAATATAAGGGGATGGATTCTTCTGATAGACTTCATTAGAACATGATTTACTCTTTTTTTATTAAAAGAGGTTTTGTCTTAGGGTGCATGTATTCACCAGAGAGAGAGAGACAGACAGAGACAGTAAGAGGAAAAGTGAGAAATCACCTCCCCCACAGGAGGCATGGCCATGCTGCAATCCCTTTTCCTCCATTAGCCTCCCAGGATCTTGGGCGTGCATGCACACGTGCCCGGAATGATTTTCAAGCCACCAGGTTGAAACCAGACTCAAACCATGGTTGGCCACGTGGGAGTCCAGCAATATAACTGCTACGACATCTGCTGGCCCCCACAATCTACTCTTAAGGAATCTTCTTATTAGAAGTCAAGCCATGGTAATAAATACAAATACAATTATTAGTATTATTATTATACTTGTAAAGTGTAGATAACTACAAATACTTGCTTGGATTTAGAATGTATTGTGCAACTTTGTAAAATCAGAATTTACAAACCATTTTGCCTAGGCTAGTAATACAGTGAGTTTGTATTTTCTGAGAGTAGAGAGATTGGGCTAAAGGTGAGTCTGCTGTGTGATGAAAGGAAAAAAATGTTGGCTGAAACTTTACAGTTGGAAAACTAAGCCAACATACAATTTTTCAAATACCAGGCAAACAACTAAATAATTCCTTCTCAACCGAAAATGAGAAATTGACCAAATTTTGAGGAGCCAATTCAAATCAAGTACCATCTGTATAGTCTTTGCTTCAAAGTAAGTCAGGAAGAAATGAGGACATATACACACAATCACCACAGGTGTATAATAATACAAATAGATCTAGAAACTGTGTGTGTCCCCTGGGCAACACACAGGGGAGACGGTCAAGTCTTTGCTTCAAAGTAAGTCAGGAAGAAATGAGGACATATACACACAATCACCACAGGTGTATAATAATACAAATAGATCTAGAAACCACACTTATACTCCTGGGCAACACACAGGGAAGACGGTCAGCAGTTCTAAGACCACAAGGCTGCTGAGGGTTTAAGAGTCACTAACACTCTGAAGTTAGAGTTTTCTGATTATAACCAGGAACAGGAATTCCTTTATACCCAGTGTAGACAGGCTACACTGTGAAAATTCAGGGGTTTCTGGTCCAAAGAACAGAAATGAAAAAAATGGGAGTGTTTCTTCAAAATAAACCACAGTGGATGGGGTTTCCAAAGTCCCTTCAAACCAACTGCTCACTATCACGTATCTTTATTTATGTGTACGGTGCACAAGCACGTTCACAAGCCATGACCTCAGCTGGATTCGTCCAATGTCCCATAAGGCAGATAGACTAGGAATTGTCATCATCCCCAGTTCATTAAAGCCAAACTGGGAGTGAGGGAACATCCAGGTCACACAAGTTGTAGAGTCAGGACTTGAACCCAAGTCTTTGGATTTCAACTTGAGCTCCTCTTCTAAAAGAAGATGTGTTTTAGAGAAGAGATCCAGGTCTTGGCAAAACAGTTACATAGTTCATGTTTATTGCCAGTGGCAACCTCCACCTCTTTCTCTATCCTCTTCCTCATCCAAGAACCCCTGAAGTCTTTTGTATTGAGGTGTTAGGAACTGAATGTGTTTCTTGTCTCAAGATGACCTGTCTTCACTCAATAAAATGATGAGGTTTCAAACATTGATGGGAGAGATGTTGGTGGTTCTTTCCTTTGAAATCACAGCATTGTAAATAATTACAACAGGTTAGTACGTTGCAAATCTTTTCTGGCAATCAGAATCCAAGATAATGTCCCAGGAGGTAGTTAGAGAGAGGTGGGGAAGCTCAATGTGATGGTATAAACCCTCTTCTCATGAAGTTGACAAACTTACCTTTACATTTCCATCCTAACTGCCATATTCTGTAGTTTTTTTTGACATTCTTGCACTGACGAGACACACAATGAGGGAAAATGAAAGGTGAGTCCAGATGACGATTTGTGGTGGCCTCTGCCCAATCATCTATATTTCTGGATATAGGTTAGTGCCTCCAAAAACTCCTGCCATTTTGTTTTGTTTTAAAATGTTTGTGCACACAGTAGGTAACCAGTAAATGTTAGTTCCTATGGTCCTCATTTAATCTCATTGGTGTGGTTTGCACACAATGGATGCTCAGTCAATGTCGGCTGCTGCTATCTGGTGTCTGGTCTCCACGTCACTATTGTACACGCAATAGGTACTGAGCAGGTATCAGTAATGTCAGCTGCTATGGTTTGTGTCTGGTCCTATTGCATGTCACTACTTAGAAATGTCCAGCTCCTCGAGGACAGGCAGGCCTGCACATAGCTGTCCTTCCCCCACACAGCTCATGACCCTGACCGATGGAGGAGAACTGGATTTGGGTTTTCACTCATGACACACCAGGGAGTCACTTCAGCCTTATACAGTCCACCTCTTCGGTGGCGGGCACACCACTGGTTTTGAGGTCGAGGTCGGCGCTGGACTTGCTCCCATGCTGGGAGGGCCGCCAGTGGAGCAGCATCATCTTCTTGAAGTACTTCATGGTGTTGTTCTTGACGGTCACGAAGCACACGGTGTTGATCATGCTGTTGCTCATGGCGATGCACTCCACCACGTAGAAGGCGGTGAGATAGTGCTTCTCCTTCACGAACACAGTGGGGAAGAAGTCGCGCACGATGGTGAAGCCATAGAAGGGTGCCCAGCACAGCACGTAGGCCATGAGGATGCACATGAGCACCAGGACCGTCTTCCGGCGGCAGCGCAGCCGCTTGCGGATCTGTTCCGTCTGGAACCCAGGGACCGCCTTGAACCAGAGCTCCCGGGAGATCCTGGCATAGCACAGGGTCATGGTGAGCACTGGGCCCACGAACTCGATGCCAAAGATGAAGAGGAAGTAAGACTTGTAGTAGAGCTGCTGGTCCACTGGCCAGATCTGGCCACAGAAGATCTTCTCCTGACTTTTGAAAATGAAGAGGACAGTTTCTGTAGCAAAGTAGGCTGATGGGATGGCGATGAGGATAGACACCACCCAGACCAAAGCAATCAGGAAGGACGCCGTTTGGTAATTCATCCGTGGTTTCAAGGGGTGAACAATGGCAAGATACCTGATGGCAGAGGGAAACCACCACCAAAAATAATAATAATGGAGCTCTGAAACATAATTGATTTTTAACCCCCAAACAGATTAAAATGGCACAGTGCATCCTCCTGTACCTGTGACTCAGCTTTAACCAGCTTGACCTTGTTTTAGCAACATCATCTGGGTAGCAGGGAGATTTGGTGGAAACCACACAAACTTTGGGTCAAACAGGCTGAATAAATCTTCCTATTCCCTCTGAGTGGCTTTGGGGTCAATTCTCTAACCTCTGAGATTCATTTCCTCAAATGCAACATAAGATAAAATGACACCTATCTTGCAGGGCTGCTGTGAATATTAAATATAATAATTTTTATAAATGCTTTTTTGCATAGTAGATGTCCAATGATTACTTGTAGCCTAATATTATTATTTCTATATTTTTTGAGAGATTTTTGCTATAGGGTGCATGTGCTTGAAAGAGAGACAGAGATACAGAAAGTGAGAAATCATCCCCTGGGGCAGGGGTGGGGGTGGCCACACCACAGTCCCTTCTCCATTCTCCTTTCGAGATTTTCAGCATGCACATACACCTGCTTGGTGTGAGTTTCAAGCCACCAGATCCAAGACTTGAACCACAGTCAGCCACATGGGAGTTCAGTGCCTTAACCACTATGCCATCTGCTGGTCCTGTGGCCTACTATTATTAAAAGCCTTATTATATCATCTCGGGTTTCAATGTTGTCATTCTGCTCACTTCTCGAAGCTCTTCATTCTGAATATCTTAGGATGTAAGGCCTTTCTTAGGGCTTTACAAGGGCTGTCTCCCTCTTACTAGGTGACGTCTGCATCAGAGGCAGAAGAGTAGGGGAGGGCTTGTGGTGGCATCTGAGGACTCTCATGAGAAGAGAATTTCTCACTCAAGTTCTTGTCATGGCAGGACCAGAACTCAGGCTCCTGATACAGAACCTCTCTGCCAGCCCATGAAATCATTTAAGCAAGTCAATCACATCTTTCCAAGGGTCTTCTCACCTTTTTGTCACTGCAAAGCCTGCCTCCCACAGCCCTGCGGGTTCACCGTGTTCCCAAGTACAAATCCTGTGCTGCCTTGCAAGGCATGCAGTGTCCTCCTCCTTCAGGCTGGAGGTACCCGTGGCTAGTTCCCCGCTGTCAGTCTCCTCTGTCCAGAGTCAGCTGTCATGTGTTCAGTCATCTCATATTATTTGGAAAAGGAGAATCACCCCTTCATTCATAAGGTACATAGTAGGTGATCGGAATAGCCCCCACGAACCTCAGCATCTCCAGGAAGCATCCCAGAGCATATCAGTAACGTAACAGTCACATCTCCCATTAAGTTATTCTTGATTTAGGGACCAGCAGATGGCGAAATGGTTACGTCGTTGGACTCCCACACGGCCAGCTGTGGTTTGAGTCCTGGACCGGAGGCTTGAAACTCACACTGGGCATGTGTGCATGCATGCCCAAAATCCTGAGAGGAGAATGGAGGAGAAGGGTCTGCAGTGTGACTATCCCCCTGGGGGAGGGGGGAGGCAGAGTTGATTTCTTGCTGTCTCTGTCTCTCTGGTGAGTGCACATGCTCTATAGCAAAAATGTCTTTAAAAAACCCTTATTTTTTTATTTATCTCTTGATTACCTTTTCTGTTTCATAAATGCTAGTTTTTGTTTTAACTTGCCAGAGGGCGTGTGCACTCACATGAGCGAGACAGAGAGAGAAAGAGAGGAAAAGTGAGAAAGTAACTCCTATGGGGCATGGGTGCGCCACAATCCCTTCTCATTTCCGCCCTCTTTTGGAATTTTGGGAAAGGCATGCACACGCGGTGTGTTTTTCAAGTTCCCAGGTTCAGGACTCCAGCCTCCTTAACCACCAGGCTGCAGGCAAGCCTCGTAAATGCTAGCTTTTATAGAAGAAAACTTCTCCCAAGTCAGGGACTGTGTCTTCTACTTTGTTTCTCCACACACAGGCTGGGCACGCAGCAGGAGCCAGCCACCTGCTGTGGGTTTACCAGGTCATCTCAGATGCTGTGAGCACCTCTCTCATGCCCTTTGCTCTTATCACTCATGTGCACGCCTCTCTATCCCCACCAATACCTACAGGTCCACAGGCTTCATCTGGCTTCCAGATTTCTCTTGACTGCTTGTGCAGAAATTCCAGAGCCCCTCTCACCCGTGACGCATGAGCGCTGGTGTACCGATGGGCCCGCTCTCTCCCACCAACCACTCCTGGGAGAACTCCGATGTACAAGCTCTAGTTGCCCACAGTGGAAGCTTAATCATACACCTGTAGTAGCTTCCCTTCCCTGCTGCTACCTGCACAGGAATCCTTGTCTCAGAGTCTGTTTTGGGAGTAACCCAAACTCAGACACAGGTAAAAGTCTCTGTGCTAGGTGCTGTAGAGACAGAGCGATAGAAAACATGGTTATAGTACTTACCATACACTGTCTTGGGGCTGGCAGGTGGCATGGTGGTTAAAGTGCTGGACTCCCGGACCAGCAATTAGCGTAATGGCTATGTAGCTGGACTCCCATGCAGTTGACCGTGGTTCGAGTCCCAGACCTGGTGGCTTAAACTCACGCTGGGCTTGTGTGCGTGTGTGCCCAAGATCTGAGAGGAGAATGGAGGAGAAAGGATTGCGGTGTGGCCATCCCCCCTGGGGGGCGATTTCTCGCTTTTTGTCCCTCTGTCTCTCTCTGTCTTTCTGGCGAGTGCACGCCCCCTATAGCAAAACCCTCTCCCCTCCCCCCGCCCACCAAAAAAAAGCTAGACTCCCACATAGCTAACCACAGTTTCAATCCCAGACCTGACGGCTTGCTTTCTCAACTTTCCTTTTCTCTGGTCAAATTAAATAATAATAATAATAAATAAAATTAGATAACTCAAAAAAAAGATACACTGTCTTTTGCAAAAGACAATCTGCATCTCTATACACAGCATGGATTTGGAAAGACAGGGTGCTGTCAGATTATAAAGGTGCTGGAAAGCTAGGCTCAGGATGTACTGTGTATTACGGAGGCACTGGAAGTTTTAAAGATCTTTTGCAAGCAATGAAATATTTCAGGAAGATTCACCAGTGGAGATATTCTGATGCTTAGTATGGATGAGAATGGATTTCAGGACAGTCAGGAGCCCCTGAGGAGTAAGAAGACAGCTTGGAAGGCCCAGCTACAACTTAGGAAGAGATGAGGCTGGGGAGAGAATTGCCAGGACTCCGTGTAGGGCTGAAGCCAAGGGTTGGGGCTGGGGCGGGGAGAGAGACAGAGGATGATGGGATCTCTTTCCTGCTTGGATGACTGAGAGAACGATGAAACTGCTGATGGAGCTGGGAAGCCAAGTGAGGAAGAGGTGATTTGGGGTGAAAAGGAACCATTCTGTTTTCTATTGTGTTGCAACAGGATGATTTCTTTCCAAGAAACTTCAAGGTTGCAACAAAACCGACATCATGAAGACCAAGGTAACAATGGGATAAGGGGATGAGAACAGTGCAGATTCTCGGTTTGAGCACCAGACTCCCCCAGGAGTCAGATAGACACACATATTCCTGGAACACAGTCCAAAGGATTTCCATTCAGGAGCCTGGGGTGGGGCCAAGGGATGTGACGTTGTGTCATTCTATCCAGTGATGCGTTGTAGCATTTTCCCTGGGGAATTTGCACAGTAGTTGGTAGGTACACATTTTGTAAACCTGGTTTCAGGGCTGCGCTGACTTGAGGGATAATAAAATTATTTTTTGTCCAAGAACTATGTTATACAAAGGAAAGAGGATACTTCTTTTGTCTATATATGGGATTTATTTACAATAAACCTAAAGAGCAATGAGACCAGGGAAAGATTGGAGTCGAAAAGATACAAAAGGGGGGCCTGCAGGTGGTGCAGTGGTTAAGGCCCTGGACTTTCACATGGCTGACCCCAGTTTGAGTCTCAGACCCAGTGGCTTGAAACTCACACCAGGGAGGTGTGAGGGTGTGCCCCAAATCCCAGGAGAATGGAGGAGAAGGGATTGTGGTATGGCCATCCCTCCCTGGGGGGGGGGGGAGTGACTTCCTGCTTTCTGTCTCTGTCTCTTGGGCCAGTACACTTGCTCTATAGCAAAAGTATCTCAGGGAGTGGGAGGAGACACAAAAAGAAGGAAAAAAGGTGATTAGGCGCAATATCAAAATGAGCAGTGCTTACAGTGGTAAACAGAGACCCAGAGAACGTGACAACTTTCCCCCTGAAACAGGGTCACTGGTGGTCAGTTGCAGGCCTGCAACTGCTCACATGAATAAAACATGTGTATGAGTTGTAAACTCCTATTATAAATTTTATTTTATGCATTTATAATAGAGCGAGGACTTCTAGAACATCTCATGCAAACGTATGTAAATGAGAACATGAATGTATGCAAAAAAGCAAAAGCAAACATATCATTTCCTTTTTCCCACAAACAAACCCTATCGTCCTATTTTAAAATCAGCTTTGCAAGGGCCGGCAGGTAGCAGGATGGTTAAGGTTTTGGGCTCCCACATGGCTGACTGGTTTGAGTCCTAGACCTGGCAGCTTGCTTTGTCACTTTCCCTCTCTCTTTTGCTCTCTCTCTGGCGAATTAAAATAATAATAAATACAATTAAATAAATCTTTTAAAAAACAGCTCTGCAACCAGGAACAAGAGTACATAATATGTAAATCCATTTTTTTAAAAAATGAAGTTGAAGAACAGTCAAAGCTAAACTATGATTATAGAAATCTGATCAGTGGTTACTTGGGGTGGGGAGATTGAATTTTAAAGGGCCCAAAGAAGTTTTCTTGATCATGGAAAATTTTTAATATTTATTATTATTATTTTTAGAGAGATTTTTGCAGTAAGGCTTGTGTGCTCACCAGAGAAACAGAGAGAGACAAAGAGACAGACAAAGAGAAATCAATCCCCTGGGAGGATGACTATGCTGCAATTCCTTCTCCTCCATTCTCCTCTCGGGATTTTGGACATGCACACACACATGCCAGTTGTGAATTTTAAGCCACCAGGTCTGGGACTTGAACCATGATCAACTACATGGGAGTCTAGTGATGTAACCATTATGCCATCTGCTGGTTCCTATTACTATTATTTAAAAATTTTTGCTTTAGGGCACATGCACTCACCAGAGAGACAGAGAGAGAGAGGGAAAGTGAGAAAGTAAGTCACCAGATCCAGGACTCGATCCACAGTTGGCCATGTGGGAATCTGGTACCCTCACCATCATGGCACCTGCTGGCCCCAATGATGGAAATGTTTTATATGGCAGTCTGGGTTGTGGTTACAAGAAAAACTTGGCATACATTGTCTTGAGTGGGAGCTGCCCTGGTTGCCTCTCATGTGGCTTCTGAGTAGACACCGCCTGCTTTTGACTCTGCATGACGTCACACACTGTCTTGTGACATGTGTGTATCTAAAGCAGATGTAGCTATCTGGGGGCATGAACCGGAACTTGGGAGCTCAGGAACTTCACTGTTTCCCACATCTGGGGGAACAAAACACAACTGGAGAAACAAGGCCTTCTCTGGCTCCTCGGCAGATACATGAACATCCGTGTCTGGAGCAGTGCCAGCCTGTCAGGGCTGAAGTCAGGAAAGGGACAGCCTGGTCCAGCCCCACCTTTGACTGCCCCTGCCCAGCTTTCTCACCTGTCGATGGCGATGGCCAACAGGGCGTTGGTGGAGACGTAGAGGGAGACGGTGCGCAGGTAGTTGACGGAGGCACAGAGCGCGTGACCGTGCTCCCAGGAGAGCTGGCGCACCACGTAGTATTCCATCTCGAAGGGGCAGCAGACGATGGCCACCAGGAAGTCCGAGATGGCCAGGTTGGCAATGAGCAGGTTGGTGAGGTTGCGCAGCTTCTTATAGCGGGCAAGGGCAGCGATAAAGACAAAGTTGCCAATGCCGCAGACCAGCATGATACCCGCCAGGGCCACACCGATGACAATCTTGGCTGCGAAGAAGGTCCAGGTCTTGGTTATGTCCTCCTCCTCATCCATGGGGACATCATAATCCCCATAACTGAAGTTGAATGGGAGGGAGGATGCATGGTCTTGGGGTGGATTCAAGTTAGGTGGCAGACTCGTGTTTGCACTCTGGGTTGCCATGGTGAGGCTGCAGGTGGAGTGGGTGAAGGAGGTGCAGACAGTAAGTCTAGTGCTCGGCCCACATCCACGGGGAGATCAGAGACGCTGTCCTGGACCCTGGGAGGAGACACAACCAGGGGATGGCATGTGGGAGATCATCTGGTAGCGTTCTTCCAGTTTCCCAGGTGTAACCAGCCAGACCCACTGCCTATCCAGGGTGCCAGGAGGAGAGGCTATGAGATCTGGAAGCTGGGAAGCCCTCCACTGGCTGCTCACTCGTTGGAAAGGACTGAGCAGAGGATAAGCTGGACTCTCCAGAGATGCTCAGGAAGAATGTGCACCTCTGACCTTTTCCTTGGGGTCAGGGCCATGAACATCTAGTCACCCACCTTCCTACCCACACCCTCACCACTGCATCAGCCCCCGCAGGAGTCTTCTGGAAGTTGCCCAAGGCTGCTTTTGGCTGCCGGCCCAGGCTTCTACAGCAATCACCACCTGTTGGCCAGGGACAACCAAGCAGGCGGGCCAGGGCTCGCAGGATCTTTCCTCCGAAGCAGCATCCTGCTCCCCTGGTCCTAGCCAAACCACAGCCATTGAAGTCACCAAATCTGCTTCTACATGGGCAGACTGAGTCATCCTGGGCTTGTGATTTATGCTCTTGGAGCCCCAGTCTTCCTGTAAACCAAATTCCTG